AAAAAAAAAAAAAAAGAAAATCAAATATGAAGTCTCACCTAAGTCAATCATCTATTTATTCATTGAATGAATATTTATAATATTCATGTGCATGCAAGAGAATGGGGAGGAGGCATACTACAGAAATGTACAGCAAATTGTATAATTCAACGATCTTTTATTCTAGTCGGGAAGATAAATATACAAATAACTACAATTTAAGGCCATTTGTGATAAGAACCATAAAAGTGGTGCGAACCAAAGTTTGAAGAGGCAAAGTTCACTTCTTGTTCAGGTTGTCTGGATAACCGTCATGGAGAAAATGACCACTGTTTTATAAAGGCATGGGGTTGTAGAGGAGAATCATGATGGATAAGGCTAGAAAAGGCAGTCAGAGCCAGATTCTGGGGGAATTTCAATACCCAGCTGAAGGTCAGGCTTTATTTGATTGACACTGGGGAGCCACTGAAGGTTTTTTTTAAGAACTTTATTGAGGTAGTACTGACACACAATACACATTTCAAAGTATATAGATTGATGAGTTTGCATGTGTATATACTCATGAAACCATCACCACAATCTAGATAATGAACATACATCTCCAATCACCCTTTTTAAATCCTCTTAAGGATTTTAAGAGAATGGCAATCAAAACCATTCTGTTGGAAAGTATTTTGTGATTTAAAAATAATATATTCTTTTCTGCTGACACTGGGTAAATGAGATGATAAAAGATAATTTAAAATATTTTAGAGAAATAAATGCCTCCTTCTGATAATTTTCTTAAAAAGTCTTGTAATCTCATTTAGCAGTATGTTAATTTTTTTAAATTATACCATATCTAAAAACAAGTTAGGCTCAGTGCCTGTAGCTTACTGGCCAGGGTGCCAGTGATATACACCAACGCTGGCAGGTTCAAACCCAGCCCAGGCCAGCAAAAACAACAATGACAACTGCAACAAATAAAATAGCTGGGCATTGGGGCGGGTGCCTGTAGTCCCAGCTACTTGGGAGGCTGAGGCAAGAGAATTGCATAAGCCCGAGTTGAAGTTGCTGTGAGCTGTGACACCATAGCACTCTACTGAGGGTGACATAGTGAGACTCTGTCTCAAAATAAAAAATAAATAAATAATACAAACACGTTGATACAATGGACAAATAAGCCACCAGAACTTTGGTCAATCTGGGGTCAGCACAGGACCGGAACAAGACAATCAATTGAAAGCATAACAAGGAGGTTTTTTAAACCAATAGTTCAGACAGTTGGTAATAAAATCACATTAAAAGTTAGGAATAAATGAGAAAGCCAGAGGCACAGTGGCATGAATCTATAATACCAGCTACTCAAGAGGGTAAGGTAGGAGGATTTTTGAGCCCCAGAGTTTGAGACTAGCCTGGGGAACATAGACTCTGTCTAAAAAATAAAAAAAAAGGCTCGGCGCCTGTGGCTCAAGCGGCTAAGGCGCCAGCCACATACACCTAAGGTGGTGGGTATGAATCCCCAGCCGGGACCCACCAAACAACAATGATGGCTGCAACCAAAAAATGGCCAGGCCTTGTAGCGGGCGCCTGTAGTCCCAGCTACTTGGGAGGCTGAGGCAGGAGACTCGCTTGAGCCCAGGAGTTGGAGGTTGCTGTGAGTGTGATGCCATGGCACTCTACCCAGGGGGATAGCTTGAGGCTCCGTCTCAAAAAAAAAAAAATAAAATAAAATAAAATAAAGGACTAACTGGGTAAGTTGGCTGGAGAGAGGGTGATGGTGATGGTAGAAATGACAGAGGTTTGGGGCTAGTTGTATGACTATCTGGGAGAGGATTGGGGATAGGAAAGGCACACATAAAGAACTAGAATTTATGGATATGGATTTGACAAGAAGGGAAATCAATCATATGTAGGACTCACTCACATCCAAGTAAGAGGTAAAGCCATGGAGTGGTTTGCATCTGTGAGAGACAGAGTTGAAGGAGAGTGAACAAGTCAACCCGGAACCCTAAACCCTATACCACAGAGGCTCCATATTGTTTGAGATATCCAAGGCACTAGCAAAGCCCTTTATAAAGTGTATTTTTTTCATTCACCCCATCATAACAATCCCTTGAAGTAAATACCAAATCATGTCTACTTTAAAAATGTGGAAACTGGCTGGGCATGGTGGCTCACACCTGTAATCTTAGCACTCTGGGAGGATGAGGCAGGTGGATTGCTTGAGCTCGGAAGTTTGAGACCAGCCTGAGCCAGAGTGAGATCTTGTCTCTACTAAAAATAGAAAAACTAGTTGGGCGTAGTGACACATGCCTGTAGTTTCAGCTACTTGGGAGGCTGAGGCAAGAGGATCAGTTAAACCGAGGAATTGGAGGTTGCTGTGAACTACAATGATGCCATGGCACTCTACCCAGGGCAACAGAGTGAGACTTGGTCTCAAAAACAAATAAATAAATAAACAAATAAAAATGTGGGTAGATGCTTGGAGTGAGATGCCATGGCATACTATTCAGCTATAAAAAGGTGGTGACTTTACATCTTTCAAATTAACCTGAATGGAGCTGAAATACATTATTCTCTGTAAAGTATCACAAGAATAGAAAAGCAAATATCCAATGTACTCAATACTAATATGAAGCCAGGCTCGGCGCCCATAGCACAGTGGTTACAGTGCCAGCCACATGCACGAGGGTTGACAGGTTTAAGCCCAGCCTGGGCCAACTAACCAACAATAACTGCAACAACAACAAAAAAATAGCCAGCCGGGCGCCTATAGCTTCTAAGCTACTTGGGAGGCTGAGGTAAGAGAATCACTTAAGCCCAAGAGTTGGAGATTGCTGTGAGCTGTGATGCCACAGCATTCTACCCAGGGCAACATGGTGAGACTCTGTCTCAAAAAAAATTAAAATAAAATAATAATAATAATAATATGAAGCCAGTAGATGATTTAATTCATACTCACATAGAAAAACTCATTTCAGCCGGGAAGGACGCGTTGAGGTTGGGAACCCATCAAGGACAGTAACTACCATGGCTTCCAGTGCTTTGGCCAAACCTCAGATGCGTGGCCTCTTGGCCAGGCGCCTGCGGATTCATATTGTTGGAGCATTTGTTGTATCCCTGGGGGTTGCAGTTTTCTATAAGTTTGCTGTGGCTGAACCAAGAAAGAAGGCATATGCAGATTTCTACAGAAATTATGATTCTATGAAAGATTTTGAGGAGATGAGGAAGGCTGGTGTCTTTCAGAGTGTCAAATAATTTTGAAATACAAAGAATTTCTTTGGGCTGATTTACATAGACATCTGTCACTGACCTGTGTTCCTGAGCTATGAATATGAGTGATAAATAAACTGTTATTAAATTCAAAAAAAAAAAAAAAAAAGAAAAACTCATTTCAATTCAAGTTGGGGGAGGAGGAGAGGGGAAGGTTTGGGGTACTCCCACTTAGTGGGCACAATGCAGGGCTGTATGGCACATCTTTTGAGTGCTGAACACAACTGCAAGAGGGACTCTACCTAACAAAGTCAAATATTGTGACCTGGTTGTTTGCACCTTCACATTAACTGGAAATTTTTAAAAATGTGGAAACCAAGGCACAGAGAAATGAGGTCAGTTGTCCAGTGTCACATAATTAGCCCGTGGTGAAATTAAATTGTTAAAATCAGGCAATATGAACTCATTCTCAATCACTGGGCTACAGTATCTTCTTCCAGCAGCCCAATCACTTAAGCATTACTAAGATTGGGTCTCCTAAGATCCAGACATGGATGAGATCCATGCCAGAGGTGCTTACCCATTTGCTTGGTGAATGCTAAGATCATGTCTCCTAAGACCCAGACACCCACGCCAAAGGTGCTTACCCATTCACTTGGTGAATCCTAAGATCGGGTCTCCTAAGACCCACAATACCCACACCAGAGGCATTTACCCATTCACTTGGTAAATCCTAAGATGGGGTCTCCTAAGACCCACAATACCCACACCAGAGGCGCTTACCTATTCACTTGGTAAATCCTAAGATGGGGTCTCCTAAGACCCACGACACCCACGCCAGAGGTGCTTACCTATTCGCTTGGTAAATCCCAGTGGGCACTATGTCTTCAGATCTCAAGATAACACAGTATCCTTGGAACTAAATCTTCAGTCTAATGCTTTATGGGCAAAATGGGGTAAAAGAAGGAGCTGGTATTTATTCAATTTAGGTTGCCCTTACTGAAACTTAGTTCAGATGCATAAAAGAATTTTATTTCATAAACAGAACACCATTAGTCAAAGTGAAAATGAATAGTTTTCATTGTTCTTCCTTTCCCTCCAAAATACATCCAGCAAAGGCCTACACCATTGGCTGGAATTCTATCACTAACAAGTCATTACCTTCTGTCTGGAGGTCTTTGCTTTAACAGAACTTCATTAAAACTCAATGTAAGAACAGAAAGCAGAAAATCTCTGTAGGCTTTTGGGAATTGCTTCCAACTTTAACAATCAGTAGAAAATAATTTATTCTACTAAATTCAGTTCTGATCAAATGATGACAGAGGCTTTTGATTTGTTTAATTCCAGAAATCAATCACAAAATCAGTCAAAGAAATGATGTTCACTCTGGAGAATAGCTCCACTTCTTCTTCAGCTCTCCAGATTTTCCTAGGAAAAGACAGTGAAAATCCTATAGTCAAAGGAATGGTGTTCAGAACTTTCTTTTTTTTTTTTGTTTTTTTTTTTGAGACAGAGCCTCAAGCTGTCCCCCTGGGTAGAGTGCCGTGGCATCACAGCTCACAGCAACCTCCAACTCCTGGGCTCAAGTGAGTCTCCTGCGTCAGCCTCCCAAGTAGCTGGGACCACAGGCACCCGCCACAACGCCTGGCTCTTTTTTGGTTGCAGCCATCATTGTTGTTTGGCGGGCCCGGGCTGGATTCGAACCTGCCACCTTAGGTGTATGTGGCTGGCATCTTAGCCACTTGAGCCACAGGCGCCGAGCTGGAACTTTCTAAGAAACCAGGGTATGATGTGCAGATACTTCTAGGGAGTACAGTTCTTTCTAAAGTTTCTGCTGATCCTGAAACCAGAGGGGAGTGCTCCATGATAGCAAAAGGTTTAACGATTACTAATTACTAATACATGGGATTAGAATGGCATCCTACAGTTATCACTACAGCAGATAAGATTGGGTTTTGTTGGATCATATTTAGATGATTCCGAACTTCCTCAGCACACACCTAAAGATCTTAGGGAAAGAAGACCCAGAAATTTACAAGGGAGCAGAGTGAAGCCAGCCTGAGATGAGAGCTCTCCCACCAATATATTTTATAGATGATTATCTGTAGGAAGTAAATATTAGCTTTGTAAGAGTCAGCAGTCAACATTTTGGATAGCGTCACTCTGGAGTCCGATCCCCACATGCTGATCTTCTGTCTGCTCCCCTTTCCTATGGCCAGAAAATCTGGGCATTTTCAGCAAAGTAGGGAGGTCTGTTTTCCTGTGTGCTTTCCAACTTACAAAAAAGGTCATGATTTGGAATACTAGGTGTTAGTACAAAAACAGAGCAAATGCCCATCAGAGCCAGGAGCCCCAAGATACTTACCCAGCCTCCTTGGGCCTGGATGAATTCCCGGATGGCTGTGTTCCCACTGATCATATCCGTGATGGGGCTAGCCATCTGTCTTGCTCTTTCAGGAGCCATGCGGGCCACACCCCCCAAAAGTTTCACTAACACTGCCAGAAAGACTCTCTCATAAGCGAAGCTGGAATCCTGGGCACACCATGCCTTGCTGAGTTTGCTCACTGTTTCCTGGAGATCAGGTCCTACCTGAGGAGACATGTACAGGACGTGTCACAGTAGAGTACAGGAGTCAGCAGAGCAAGTCTCTCAAAGAGCAGCGAACATACCATTGATGGTGTCTGAGGTAGTCTTAGGGGGTAAACTTTTCTCGTTTCAGTATTTTGTAATTTTAATTGGCATTAGAAAATATAAAAGCAGTCCAGCAAACCCATGATTTCAGATACTATTGGTTGGGATGAACAAAATGAAAGAAAAAAAAAATGATTTGAGTGAAAAATATTAAGTATATGATAGTCCAGTAAATTGAATTATAAAGGTATTACTTGTTTGACAAGAAAATGTCTAGGAAACTCTAAGTTAAAAAAAAAAAATGGTTAGCTCTTTTTCTTCCTCTTTCCCAAATGATGTGATCCAATGCAATTAGGTGGTGCCAGGCAAGGTCTTTTGAGGTGTAGGGGGGTCGACAGTGGATAGAGAAGGGTATTAGAGCCCAAACAAGCTTAGAAGGGCCTCCACATGGGAGGATACCTAGATCTTGATTTTGAAATAGCATTCTCCATTAAAAGAAACCAGAGGGGCTGGGCATAGTGGCTCATGCCTGTAACCTCAGCACTCTGGGAGGCCAAGGCAGGTGGATTGCTTGAGCACAGGAATTCGAGACCAACCTGAACACAGCGAGACCCCATCTCTAAAATATAGCTGGGTGTTGTGGTGGCCACCTATAGTCCCAGCTACTTGGGAGGCTGAGGCAAGAGGATCATTTGAGCACAAGATTTTGGGGTTGCCACAAGGTATGATGCCATGGCACTCTACCAAGGGTGACAAAGTGAGACTTTTCTTAAAGAAAGAAAGAAAAAAACTAGAGGTTGCTAGAGAATAGCTGATTCCAATCTGGGGCTTGGAAAGTTCAAGACTTTCTGTTAGAAATTAAGGAAGAATGACATAGACACGTTTGAAAGATGCAGTCCTGGCTCAGCGCCTGTAGCTCAGTGGTCAGGGTGCCAGCCACATATGCCAGGGCTGGTGGGTTCAAACCTGGCCTGGGCCTGCCAAACCACAATGACAACTACAACAAAACAATAGCTGGGTGTAGCTGGGCATTGTGGCGGGCACCTATAGTCCCAGCTACTTGGGAGGCTAAGGCAAGAGAATTGCTTAAGCCCAAGAGTTTGAGGTTGCTGTGAGCTGCGATGCCA